CGGCTGGAGTCAAAGGCTTCAGGATGGAGTGATGGGGAGGCGATTTCCTGAGAACCAGCCACAGAGACTGACAGCAGCCTTCTTTATTTTAATCATTATTTACTCTGGCAAAGATAAAGGATAAGTGCCACTTTGAGATGCTTTTGGCCGAGAAGTTACTGTGTCACAGCAGGGAGGAACAAAGCAATGAGGAGGAGGATTTGTGGGAAATTTTTAATCTCTGCCAATGAGGGAAGAAACACATAAGTTCACTCAGTAATTATCACATTTCACAAAACCTTAGCAACTAATCACTGATATTATTTCAGATTAGTTATAATTATATGCAACAAGTTTGGTTAATTTCTCATTTGTTACTATTATACTTATTAGATCTTAATACTGTAAGGAAAGCAAAATGAAATGCAACTAGCGACACCATCTGACAGTGCAGGAAGGACTGGCCCTTGCCCAGGAAACCTCATTGCCATTTACATCTGTTGACTCATGTTCACAGAGTCTCTTTTAAACCACCTGGGGCGCAGAGCCCCCCAGTAACTAATTTGGGGTCTGCGGTGTGTGTGTGTGTGTTTGTTTTGCAGCATAGGTCTGATATTAACTGGTGGAACAGAGATCAAATTACCTTTTCAGGTTTAAATCCTTTATAAATAGAAATTAATGTATTTCCAAGAGAGACTGTGACTGACTTCCAGGTTCCGTTTTTTGTTTTCATCGAAAGCAAGCAGGGTTTACCTTTACGGAGGCCAATGAAACCAGTTGTAAATGGACAGTGACAATTGGGGACTGCACCCTGAGTGTGCACTGGCAGCTGGAGAACAGACGAGGAAACAAAGTGAAAACCAGCACGTGCCACTGAAACCCTACTCCTGTCTTTGGTTTCTCAGTCGCACTGTTGCCCACAGCCAAGCCCTGCTGCGTCTGCCTCTGAATCATCTTGAACCTGTTCTCGAGACTTTTGTCCGTTTCCACTGTTTACATTCAACTGTTGTCATCCCTTCCTCAGTGGTTCCCTTCCCTTGGATCCAGTTCTTATTGTTGTTCATTTTTCTCCTAAAACGTAGCTCTCATCCTGTCAGATTCCGTTTTAGAATCGTTAGAACTCAGAGCTGTCTATGGAGGAGATCAGCACTAGTGGTTGCCCCGCCAGATTCTGCCCACAATGCTGTTTTATTGAGCCTAGACAGCACTTTTTGTTTTACTGAGATGATATTTAAAATTTAAAAATCAAGAGATTTTACATAAAAATCTGAATTTTTGGCTTTTCTTGAAAAACCAGAAGATCTGGCAACCCTGGGCCCCACACAGCAGCCGTCCGCTGGAGCCGGAGAGTTGTCCCTTTACATAGGGGTGCGTCTCCGCACAGCCCTGCCTCATTCATTGCCTGGGGCTGATTACCACTTGCCCCCTTCAGTAGGACATAGAGGCTGGCCCCTGCTTGCTTGCCTCCCTGCCTCCCGCCTCCTGCCTCCCTGCCTCCCTGCCTCCTGCCTCCCTGCCTCCCTCCCTCCCTCCCTGCCTCCCTCCCTCCCTCCCTGCCTCCCTCCCTCCCTGCCTGCCTGCCTCCCTCCCTCCCTCCCTGCCTCCCTGCCTGCCTCCCTCCCTCCCTGCCTCCCTCCCTCCCTCCCTCCCTGCCTCCCTCCCTCCCTGCCTCCCTGCTTTCCTTTTCTTTTTGGGGAGGGGAAGGAAGGGAGAAAGAGGAGAGAAACATCAATGTGTGGTTGCCTCCTAGGTGCCCCCTACTGGGGGCCTGACCCACAACTCAGGCATGTGCCCTAACTGGGAATTGAACGAGCGGCGGCCCTTTGGTTTGCAGGCTCACACTCGATCCACTGAGCTACACCAGCCAGGGCTGGCACCTGCCTTCTTGGCTCATTGAAGGCACCTAAGGCCCCTGTAGGCAATTAGCCACGCTGGTCAATTGGTTTACCAGATCCTGGCCATCTCATTCCATATCCTGGTTGTTTCGTAAACTATAATCTAGCCATATTGGATTCCTACTACACCTCAGATATATGTGAATATCTTCTTATGTATATAATTGCAATCCTGCCCCTCTTAAACTGAAAGCTTTAAGACAACTATAGCTAATATCTCTACCTAAACCCTAGACTGTAAGTTCGTGGTGTGAGAGCATATTCCTGACACACTGATCTTCTTCCTGGCCTTTTCCTGAGGCCCCATGGTCTTTTATTCCTCTTTGCCTTTTGATATACTATTCCTACTTCCTAAAACATCTTCACCTTTCCACTACTTCCTGTACATAACCAACGTCCCATTTGAACCTCTGCCTGGCCACAGTTTGTATAGTATTTCCATCTGTGTAAATCCTTTTCTAACACATTCAGACAGGATAAATTCTCTGTGTTTCTGTGCTCCCTTAACATTTGGCATATATACGTCTCCCCTCTCCCTCCCAAAACTTATCACATTGTGTCATCAAGGATGTGAGAAGCTTCACTGTATCTCATTCTTACCTTTACTGCCCTAGCACCATGATACTCAAAAAAGGTTTGTTGAGTCCCAGCTGGCATAGCTCAGTGGATTGAGCACAGGCCTGAGAATCAGAGGGTTGCTGGTTCAGTTCCCAGTCTAGGGCACAGGCAGGCCTGGGTTGCAGGCCAGGTCCCCAGTGGGGGACACATAGGAGGCAACCACACATTGATGTTTCTATCCCTCTTTCTCCTTCCCTTCCCCACTCTCTAAAAATAAATAAAATCTTAAAAAAAACAAAAACCAAAAAAGGTTTGTTGAATGAATTTGATAAAAGTCAGACATATAATGGTTACATAGTAAGCATTGGTTAACTTTTTAAGAGTGACACAGGCCCCCATATTTCCAGTTAAGGGTGTGGGGAAGCTGTTGATACATAGCACAGCTGGGCACTGTGGTAGGTTAACTGCCTTAGAGCGATCAGTTTCTGTTTGAATAGTCCCCTGGTTGTTTTCATACAGCTCATCGGTTCTTCCTTGTTGCTCGTTTCCCATGCGTCCGAATCTCACGTGTCTTTTTCTAAACTTAGCTAGCTAGTCATGTGATGTTTCTCATTTTGTTCACAGAGGACTGGTTTTTAAGTTTGGCCGCACCGAAGACCTGTGGCAGTGAAGACAGCTGGTTACCGCTGCTGTACAGAGGCCCTGCGTGGTGTTTTCGTTCTTGTTTTTGGTTTTTTTTACTACTCACTCCCAATTTTTTGTAATGCCATTTCCTAAACTTATTTCTGAGTGTAATCGCAGCATCAGATTGTGTGATACTAAAATCATGAGAGATCCCTATTTAAATAACAACAAAAATCTATTGTGGTATGCATTTGAGTAACTTATAAAATGTTGAAAAATATTTCACATGAGTAATTTTTATTGTTTTATCATGGTATAATTTGTAAAAATAAAAATAAATTACAAAAGAAATAGTGGATATACCTTATGTGAGTATTTGTTGTATCCAAGGTTCAAAAGTGCCCCGAAGATGTGTTTATTTAAACGTGGGCTCTTCTTTGTCAAATATTAGTGAAACACAAACATTTTCTTGTTTTTAAAAACTATTCAGTGGTTAGGAGTCTGTTTTTTAATTGTTTACACTATTACAGATGTCAGTGTTCAAAATTCTTCTCACTATACTTTGTGTTTTAGTTGTGCCAAAAATTCTGAAAACATTTCAGTGTGAATAGCTGTCAAGGGTCTCCCAAGGGGTGGGTGTGCATGTCGGAAGAGAATAGCTCCTGATCCAGCCACCAGGCTCCTCAAAAGTGTCCCTTCTGTGCCCCTGATCTGGCGAGGGTGGGGGAGGTGGTTACGACTCAGCTGTGACACGTGGTTCTTGTGGGGACACGCAGTCACTCCACATCTACCATTGATGGAAAGAAGAAAAGCACAAGGACTTGACACTGGACTCAGGTGACAAATGTTAGTTTGATAATAAGTTGGATTCCATGTTTCATTGTATCTCTGCTGAACCATTGAGCTCAAAATAGACCAGCCAGGTGAGTTATATTTATAAACATTAACTACTGGGAATTCTCAGAGTGTGTTCCTCTTTGGAATTCTGCTATCCTCCAGGCTCCCCACCTCTGCAAATGGGGTTTTTTGTTTTAAGGAACTAGGTAATGATGGGATATGTGTTCTTCAGACGTACAGCATGAAATGTTTTCTTTCATAAAACTTACTGCAGCTAGCCCTTCATTGAACACAAAATGTCTCTCCGATGACTTGCCTGTCTTTTCCATGCCAACCATAGTTACTGCCCTGTATGCAGGACGTTTGGATACGGCCTGGTCATCCGGATGCTACCCGAAGAGGTGCTGCTGCTGTCCTCCCGCAGGAATCAGTCTGGGAGTGTTTAGACCCACAGGATGTGAGAATTGGAGGGGGTCTTAGAGGCTGAAGCCCGTGTTCTCTTTTTACAGATGAGAGACCATGGACGTTGAAATGATTTCCTGAAGGTCATGAACTAGTTTTTTCACGTTGAGGCAGTGAACCTCCACGCCTTACCAGTGTCTTTTCCTACAGTTAAATTCGGGATGTGCTCAGGGAATAAGAACTACCTTGAAATTGCTGAAATAAAAACCTGATGTCTGCAGGACTAAACATAAATGAGTTCTTAACTTTGCCCTGGCTGGTGTGGCTCAGTGGATTGAGTGCTTGCGTGTGAAACCAAAGGGTTGCTGGTTCAATTCCCAGTCAGGGCACATACCTGGGTTGCAGGCCAAGTCCCCAGTAGGGGGCGCATGAGAGGCAACCACACATTGATGTTTCTCCCCTTCTAAATAAATAAAACTAAAAAAAAAAGTTTTTAATTTCCCTACTTTTTATCTGCTCTGCGGGTGTAGACAAGAGTTAACTGGGTAGGTTACTTTATTAAGCATGAAAAAAGATCTAAGAATTGTGAAAATTTAACCAAAATCTTAATTTTATGTTGCCTGCCCCCAAGGAAATACTGGTAGCATCATTTTTAATGAAATCAAACATTCATTTAAAACTTACAAAATCACCACTTAGACAAGTTCTTAGTCCTTTATTTTAAATACCAAATCTGTCTCTGACCTTATTTTGTTATACATGAAGGACTGCAGAAAGGAGTGTGCCGTGCGCACACACGCAAAAATGTGGGCAACGGTAGAAGAACTCTCTTGTGTTTTGGAACAGGCCTTATTTTTCTTGGACGCTTTTGCTTAAAATCCAACAGCCAAATGAGGAAACTGTAAAAGCAAAGCAAACATTGTATTACAGACAAACCCTCTACACTTAAAGTTTGTACACATACTGATTCTGGCTTGATGTTTTGAAATTTACATTGACACATGTCTCATAAAATCTGAACTGGAAGAGTTCCTAGACAGACCTCGTTTTGTACAGCCCTTCACATGGAGCATTACTAAATAATCATCTGGCTGTATTTGAACACCTCCAGTGATGATGGACTCATTACCATGTAAAGGAGTTCATTTCCCAGAGTTCAAACTGCTCATTTACACCACAACACCCAGTGGGCCTGGGTACATTCTCTGGGGAAGCACGGGAAAAAATCTTTTCTTTCTTCTGCATGACAGGTTTTTAAGTGTATGGAGATTGTTCTTAGGTCACCTTTGAGTCTTCTGCCAGCTGAATGGCTTCTGAATTCTCCAGTCATGCCGTATTACAACATCACTGCTCATGAAGTTGTTCGGATCACCGAATTCTAGAATTGCACCTCAGAGTAGCGAACGAGTGTGGGGTGTTTCCCGTGGATCGGTGTGCTGACGCTTCACACACGTTCGCTCCTTTAAATCCTTACCCCAACCTCGTGAGACAGCACTATTGTTACCTCCACTTCAGAGATGGGGAGACGGAAGCTCTAAGAGATCACAGAGCTAGAGTGGCGGAACCCAGACCAGTCTGAATCCAGCACGTGGACTTCGATCTCACTGTACAAATGAGGGAACAGAGCCCCAGAGAAGTAAAGCAACTTGCGTGCGGGCACCAGCCTACAGGGGTGAGCTAGGACTGGGATTCAGATCTGCCATCCAGAACAGTGCTCTGCACTGGGCCTCTCCAGGTGGGGGAGTCACCGGCAGGCTTCTCCTGTTTTCCTGCTCTGCCTGAACAGTGAGCTCTCGTTTTTTTGGCTGAATGAGCGCATGCTGGGCCCTTACTGTGGGTAGAACATTTACATTCAGTCAGAAGCAGGGGTGATAGGGTGATAAACGTCAGTTTTGAGAGTTTTGCCTAAAACAGCAGGAGGCACTCTTAACACATTCTATCATGTTTTTGTGCCAGAACAGTGGTGGTGTTTATAGTTCTTGGCAATAACATTATTTAAAAAAGAAACTGCAAATACTGATTCAGGAGCCGGCGGAGGACCTTCGGCACGTGGCAGTCATTTCAGAGTCCATCTCACGCACTTCATCGGACCATTGCACTCAACTCTAGAACATTCATGTCATCGCGTAAGTTCCCCGTGGAAACCTGTCGGAGCTTCCAGCTGCCCGAAGGGATGCTTCAAGGGGCTGTAGCTATCTCTCCTCCCTCTCTTCGTCCACTCTCTGCTGAGCTAGCTAGGTTGCTTCCTTTCCTGCTCTTGCTCTCAACATTCCCCTCGCGATGCCCTTCACTTCCTGTCGCTTGGCCAAATCCAACACAACTCCCGGTGTTCCATTTTCCCTGACCTCCCCAAACTCAGGACCAGCTGTAATTGATCCGAGCTGTAATTCCTCCTCCTCTGATTCTTCGAGCAGCTGCTGCCAGAATCACTCTTTTAGTACTTAATAGGAAGAGCAGTGCACATGGAAAGAGCCAGTCCTTCAAGGTGGTTGAAGCCGTAGTTTCTCTATTTATACCCCGACACAGTACTCAGAGCAGACGCTTAGCCACGGTAGTCCTGCAAAAACAGTTTCTTTCTTCAGAAAGGTTCTCTGTGGAATTCATTTTCATAAGTGGATATCAGTGGGCCCTTGTGCTCTCGAAAGCAAGAAATAAAATCCCTGGTTTATTAAACTGAAATAAAGAGTTGAAGGAAGCAATTTATTCTCTTAGTGAAAGCACAGGAAAAATTGTGCTGTGAACTGAGTCTTTGTAAATCAGCACCTGGGTTAGGGTCGTTGCAATCTACAGGGAGACAGAGAATGAACGGACACAGCTCTTTGAGGCCTACAACCCTGTTTTACATAGAGTTGTCTCTCCAGCACTTCACACAAGGACTCTGTCACATTTTAGGGGACACATCTGATGAAATTAGGGAATGAACAAGTGCCTCTTACCAGAACCATCCAAGGGTGAGTTGGGTGCCCCATCCTGGTGAGTGCCAGGCATGGCCTGGACAACCAGGGACAGGTGTGTCCCTTCCACCCCCCAGAAGAAGTCTGATTCTATAAAATTTAATAAGGGCATTCAGTAATGTTTAAAGTGTGTTTCTGGATGGTTTACAAAAAAAAAAAATCACTCCTGGATTTATCAGCTTTGGAACTTCTAAATTCTGTCTTCTGTAATGGATATTTGGCTTTTCAAGTGTAAGATATAAGTGCTAGACTGCTGAATGAATGCTTATACTCAGCTGTAAGACAGGAAATCAGAAGACTGGGTGGGGGAGAAATAGTTCTCTGGTGGGCACCCCCTCCCTCCACACCCACACACTGTGTCCTTGGGGCCAAACGGATACCAACCCAAATTCCTCCCCTTCCGCTTACTATCTCCGTCATTCTGGACAAGTTACTCCTGGTCTTTAAAATGGAAACACTGACTCTTGTGCAGGGTTGTTGCAAAGATAAGATCAGAAAATTTTAAAAGCATCTAGTACAAAAAATGGAAACAGTAGGCTTGCAAAAAATAACGAGAGCTAGTATGCTTACACATCCCTTCGTGTTTGGCTAAACACCTAGTAATAAACTTTCACATCCATATGGTGCTTTGCAATTTACCCAGTTACAGACGTTATTATCTCATCTGCTCTTCAAACAATCCGGTGAGTGAGAACAAAGATTTCTTACTTGACCAGTGAGAGAGGGTGAGAAACTTGCCTCCTTGGTACCTTGTAGAGCGGCGTCTGGGATCCAGGCCTGCTCATTTCTGGTACACTCTCTGCTGCCGCCGTGGCTAGTGTTAGGTGGGGTGCTCCAGATTTCCTTTACTGATTCAGCAAATATGAATAGCAACTCAAGTAATTGAGCTCGATATCTGTCCTGATTGTGGTATCCCCGGTTGGTTAGCAGAGTGCTTGGTATTTATATAATAGTTGCTCAATAAGTACTCGGGGAACGAATGGGTGGATTTAACTGGTTTTCTGAGTCCTTTCACTAAATTACCCAGCTTTTCTGCTAGAAGGGTAAGAACACGTGCAGGGCATTGAAAGAGACTTGCTGTCGGGACCAACGACTATAGAGAGAGGAAGCAGGTTACGCACAACCACGTGGATGGCTCTCAGAGTAACTCGGAGTGAAAGAAGCCAGATGAAGAAGAGTATATACCGACTGGTTCCATCCATATAAATTTGTAGAAAATGCAAACTACTCTATAGAGACGGAAAGCAGGTCAGTGGTTGCCTGGGGGTGAGATGGGGTGGGGTAGGAAGGGAGTAGTTCCAAAGACGCAAGGGGAAAATGCCTGGTGGTGATAAATACGTTTGTTATCTTGATTGTCTTAATGGTTTTCATGGGTGTTGAATAGATTTGAATGTATCAAGTTGTAGACCTGAAATATATGTAGTTCATTGCCTTTTATACCCACAAAGCCATTTGAAGAAGAACAGGAGGAAGGAGACAAAGGAGGAGAGAAGAGGCAGGCTCTCTCTGTAGGTTCTCTCTGTTTCGCCCCCAGGCCCAACCGCCAAGGCCCACGGTAAAGATGGCTCTCCGTCCGGATAGAGCTCAGTGTGCCGGCTCGTGGGTGGAGTGCGGATGGGCCTGGGACTCTGAAGGCCTGCTTCCGGGTCGTGCCTCTGCCACCCACAAAGTATGATGCTGGGCATTAGCCTGGCCTCTCTTGGCCCCAGCTTGCCATTTGTAACAGGCGGTATAGATCCCTGCTTGCCCAGCTGACCTCAGCTTTGATTGGGAGATCGCGGATGGAATGATGGTGACGTCACTCCGTCACCCGGAGTGACATCATAGTGCTCTGTGAACTACGAGTGCAGGTCAAAGAAAGGAGGGCAGTGGGGCGACGTGTCTAGCCCAGTCACAACGACAAATGCTACAGTGTAACACAGACACTCTCGGTCCAGGTGACTTGTTCGAGCTCTGTGTCCCTGGGCTAAATGACCCCAGACTTCTGTTCTATAAGTTTCCTTGTGTCCGCCAGCTGTAATTCATCCAAGCTGTTCTAGACTCAGTTCTGCTGCTCAATGAGAACTCGGTCAGTCCTGGCTCCACTCTGAGCGTCTGTCAAACAAGGGATTAGACCTGCTGGCCTCCGTGGTCCTCTGGTCTTGCATTCAGAATTCTAGCACCTTCATGTCAAACTATTTGCCCACTCCGATGACTCCAGGTGGAGAGAAGTGTGGCAAGAGTCCGTTCTCTTATCCCTGGACTTCCATGACTTGGAGGCATCAGGGAAATGGTAGCTTTTACCGCCTCCCTGCCCTCCCCGCTTCCCCCCATCCCCCCCATCCCCCCATCCCCCCCAACCCCCCCACCACACATGCACATCATGGATTTGCTCCTCCCCCCCACCCCGTGGTCTTTACTTCATTTTCACGTGTTTTCACTTTACTCTCATAAACACCGAATGAACACGAAGGCCCAGATATCTTTTTAAGTTCATTCACTCAAAAATCTATGACATTAATAGGTTAAAAAAAAAACTTACCTCCCAGAAAGCTTGGTCATCAAAATATTTACCCACACGAGGTGCTCTCCATATTCTGAGGTTTAAGAGTAAACCTGTGCAAATTCATAAGTAAATGTTCAACATTTGGAGCACAGCATTTGTTTACCTCAACATTAATCAAAATATCATATGTCAACTATGGCGTCTCAACAGAAATCCTGTTTTCTTCCACGACCAGGAGACAGACAAACTGAAGCACTGTTCTTCTTGGACTAGCTTAATTAATTCCATGGACACCTTTTCACAGGAACTGGCAGGAACAATTGTTTCCGAAAGACTAAGGTTACACTGAGAGGCGTAGGGTCACCGTGGATGCGACACGCTTCCCGGGATGCAATAGAGCCGTCCTATCAGACGATGCCCCCACTTTAAGTGGGTGCCCCCACTTAAAAGCTTCTCCCTTTCAAACGCAAGAACTACCATGGAGAGCGACTCAGAGTGGGCACCCTCATAGGTCCAGTAAACTCTGGCCAACTGCAGCTTCAGATTCCACTGTGTACTTAGGAAAGTGGTTCATGACAATTTGCTTTGGTGCCTGTAATTTTCACCTGTCCAGCCTCTGCCCAGAGAGCCTGGCTCTGTGCATCCCCCCAGCTGCACAAAACCTGTCAAATTTCCCAGGATAGGTGAAAGGGCAGTCTACCTTTCACAAGAAGCAGGGAAGTGCCACTCATAGATTTATCGGTGTATTTTTACTGATGATCGATCCCAATGTATTCAATAGTGAGACTGACAAGAGTAGGCACGTGCACATTCTTATTTTCTTTTTATCGTGTATGCCTTTAACTGATATTGGCAGGTAAGGTGCAATTACCCAGAATTACTCAGAAAAGATCTCTATCGTCTACGTGAATTTTCCAGATAGATGAGACTTATATATCGCTAATGAAAATCCATCTGAATACCTAAATCCACAGTGCATTTCTTGTCCTATGAATCATCACTGAACACATTTAGACTTTTTGAACCACTGCTGGGAACATCGACTGATACAATTTCTGTAAAACGCAGAGCAGGTGTGTAGCTGTGGAGGGTTGTTGGCCTGCTGGTCTGCAGCCCAAGCTTTTTGTGTTCTGGTGTCTGATTTCAAGAAGTTCTCTTCCTCTGTGAGGTCTTTGCTTTCACTTCTAACACCCCAGTGTGCCGTACCCCCGGGAACCCACCACACCTCCAGTCGGCTATTTCCAGTCTTCCTGAACTGGAAGCCCAACAGCTATGCCTGACGGGACTGTTCCTTCAACAGCAGGACGATGGGGTCTCCTGACAAGTACGATGCTTGGCTTTCATGGGCCAATTTGGGGCTATTTTGGCTGCTTGGGGGCCACTGTCCCCTTCTGTTGTCCAAGTTCTTTTTAATCACCAGTTCCCTCATGTCCAAAGCAACAGGCAAGGAAGAAAGCTCATTGGTTTTAACACCAAAAGGAATAATATCGGTGTCATTTCCGCTCTTCTCTTAAGTATGAGAAACGCCCCCACCCCCAGGTCCTTTATAAGACAGTGCAAGTCCGTGTCACTTTGGTAATAGAGTGACTAACGGTGAATGATGAAAGAACCCAGGTATAGGGTTGCCAGATAAAATACAAGATGCTCAGCTAGTTTTGAATTTAAAAAAAATGACTACCTTATACTTTCATTTGCTCAATCTGATACCCCTACCCAGGATAGAATGTGAACTTATGGAGGAAGGCATTTTTGCTTTTTGTTTTCACTTTTGTATGTGTTCATTATTTTTTTCTCTTTTGTGTGTGTGTCCTTTGTTCTTTCATCTGTTCTTAATTAATCACCTTGGCCTCTACCACAGACTGAGGCCGAGTGGTGCGTTCAGGTAATTTTAGACAATCTTACTCTCTAAAATTACCCAGGTAGCTCCAAAAAGACCCTTCATACATATTTTAGTGCTGAAAGGAAGCCAAATGATTAGTTACCATTATCTTTTCATTACACAGGGAAGCCAGCTAAGCCTAGAGGAAGTAAAGTGATATGATGCCGCACAACTCATGAGTGTCTGCCCACGAATTTTGCCTCTGTTTGGCACCCACCCCCTGTTTAGGGACACAATATAGGAGTGTCCAGTCAGGAAAAGCTGCTCACTTACACAATGAAAGTCAACAATTCTGAACAGAATGCATATTTTCACCTGGCATATAAGATCAGCAAATTAATAACACCTCAAGATTCAAGGCTGTTCTGTCATACTGCAGGAGCAAAAACATACCTTAGTCCTCTGTTTCACAGAGGTCTCCAGTGGCTTTCTATCTTCCAGAGTGACCTGGTACCTTGCTACCACTCTGTTCTCAACCCCTGCCACTCTCCCCCTCCCTCCATGCACATCAGCTACATGGACCTCCTTCGTTGTTCCCCAGACGTACAGAGCATGCTCCTGCCTCAGGGCCTTTGCACTTGCTGTTCCTTGTCATAGACTGCTGTGCTCTAAAATGACATCGTTGTATGTCTCCCTCCTTCTCTCCATTCAGGTCTCTGCTTAAAGGTCAACTGACTTACCACCCTTCCAGAAGAACAGCCCACCTTCCCACTGACTCTGGTTCTTTCACCCTGATTTATTTCTCTTCATAGCACTTATCACCATCTTATATAGTATGCATTTATTTGTCTATGTATTGTGCAATAGAATGTCAGCTCCATGTAATGGGGGGATTGTTTTATTCATTGCTGTGTCTCTAGTACCTAAGAATAGTGTCTGGCTCATAGTAGATATTGAATAAATATTTGTTGAACCAAATACTGTTATGGATATCCTTGGGGAATAAAATGTAAGCATTTTTGGCATAAGAATTTCCTTGGTCTTCTGTACAAAACTGAGTGAAATCACCAGCCCTGGCCTTAAGGGGTTGCCATGCCAACACAAACTCCTATTTATGACCTTAGCACAGTCTCTTCCTTTCCCTGGTCCTCGGAGTCCACACCTATGGCTGGTGATCTTGAGGGCCTTTCCATTTCTAAAATGATGTGATTCTGTGTTTGTTTGTTTGTTCATCAACGTCTGAGCCCTCGTGTCATTTGGCTGCAGCGGAGGAGGTTGGTTCACAGGGGACGGGACGGGCTCGTCCACGTCCAGCCATGGGGAGGTGCACGCACAACCCAGGCCCTGTGCCTGGGCACCGGTGGGAGGGTGAGCCCACACTGACCTGTCAGGAGACCAGATGCCAGACCCATGGCTATGTACAAGCTGAGTGTCCCGCTGCTGTTGAGGGTGATCCTGGAAATGACAAAGCAAAGATGGTCCCATTCGGGTATCAGGCTGCAGATGTCATGGGGATAAAAAGCACTACTTGCATGAGCGGCGACACTGTCAGGAAGGGCCATCAGGAAAACAATGTCCTCTTCCTGGTGGTACATTTCCCTGCAAAGCCATGCTGACGGGAAGGAAGGGAAGGGGCAATTCCAAGATCCTGTTTGGCTTACTTTTATCCTTAGAGCCCATGGATAATGAACTAGACCAGGAGCTGGAAAAAACAAGTTCAAGTCCCAGTTCTGTCACTAGTTGCATGACCCTGGGAAAGTCACTTAACCGCTTAGAGCCCAGAGTTTCCTCATTAGGCAACTGAAGATCAAGTCAAGGGGGGCATAGTTTGGTTATCAGACCCATCTTCCCTGCCTTCCCTCCCCTGTTTGTTCTCCTTCAAGGCAAGCCCAGGACTTCACTAAAAACAAGCAGGTGGCCCTAGGAGGACATTTACATGACCTTGCAGTAGACAAAGATTTCTTACACAGGGCACACAAGAGCTAAACATAAAGAGAATAATGGTAAATTGGACTACATTAAAATGAATAGCTGTTCATCAAAAGACACCCTTAAGAAAGGGAAAGGTAACCCACAAAGTGGAAGAAGATATTCACAATACATGTATCTGTCAAAGGATCTATATTCAGAACATATGAAGAATTCCTACAAATCAATAAGAAAAAGACAAAAGACGCAATAGAAAAATGGGCAGAAGAACCTGAATAGACATTTCAAGAGAAAATAAACATTCAAATGTCCTAAAAGCCTATGGAAAGTGCTCCACTTCATCACTAGGGAAATTAAAGTTCAAACAGTGAGTTCAATGGCCACGTGGCTGACACACAGAGGAAGGAAAACATGGAGTGTAAGAGACACATGGATAGAGGGGACTCTTGTGCGTAGCTTGGTGCAAACCACAGCGGAAAACGTAGCATCCACTAAAGTGGGTGCATGAATGGCGCATGGCCCAAGAATCCTATTTCTAGGCACATATTCCCCAGAAGTGCTACCCATATGTTCCCCTAAAAAGTGTTAGGATGTTTATAGCAGCAATACTAGAATGTTCGTAATAGTTCCAAACTAGAAACTACCCACATGGCCGTCAATAATGGATCGATAAATTGTGTTGTACTCACACAGTGGAACACTGTTTTAACTGTGCTTTCTTGGATTCTATAATCGGTCTACTTGGTACTCACTTTTTAAAGAAAGACTTTATTTATTTATCTTTAGAGGGGAAGGGAAGGAGAGAGGGAGAGAAATATCAATATATGGTTGCTTCTCATGCATCCCCTGCTGGGAACTGGCCTGCAACCCAGGCATATGCCCTGACTGGGAATCGTACCACCATCCTTTGGTCCGAAGGCCCGTGCTCAATCCACTGAGCTACACCAGCCAGGGCATTACTCACTTTTCAATCACAGTTTACATTCAACATTACTTTATATTAGTTTCAGGTGTACAGCATACTGGTTGGAAAATCGTATGCTTTACAGAGTGATTCCTCTGATATTAGAATTTTCATTTCTAACCGATGCCTGGGGGATGCTGAGGCTGTTGGGAAGCACTGCTCTGGGAGAGCCAGAGTCACAGAATTTGGGGTCTAGAAAGACAAGCGGTCCAGATGTTCCAGGTCAGCCGTCCATGAGCAGACTTTGGCGCATTCAGTTGTTCCAAAGATTTCCAATCTTTTAACAGTGCTTTGGGAGAGTACCTAGTATTTTCCTGAATTAACTTATGAAATCCTCTTAACCCCGTGGCTCCTGGCCTCAGGCAGCTGCCAATGACTGTGGGAGAGGAGGCATTATCACTACCTTCACTTACACCTGGGTGACTGAAGCTCAGAGAAGTTAGGTAGCATGCCCAGCTAGGAAGAGGTCGAGACGAGCCTGACTCCACGGTGCACTCTTCACCATGACCTACACCATCAGAGGCTGAAAACTGGACTCAATTGGCTTGGGCCTGATTGTCCTGCTCTGTCTGCTTTTGAAGATCCTCAAGACTATCTGCTTTTGCTTTGCACCTACGCTCCCCCCCTTTGGAAAGAAGTGGCCTGAAGAGGTGGTGACTCCACACAAGTTAGGGGCTCAGCAGAATTTCTGAATAATATTGGCCAACGAACAGTGACTGTGGTCTGCTGAGTACCTGGCCCTGAATGCACGTACTCCAGCTAAGGGCTCCAGGCACATTTCTTTCTGAGTTAGGTAGGGGTATTAAGGGGGTGAGGCAAGCCACTTACGTGACAGTCATAGGCCAGTTTGTCTCAAGCATCATCAGGACGATGTAGGTGATTCCCCCAAGCAGACCCGGCGAGCCAAATGTGTAGCTCACACCACAAGTGTCAATCTGGATGCCCAGCAAGTGGTTAGAACACACCTGGGGACAAACGTCATTATCAACAGACTTACATGTGAGACTGGCATTTCCTACCCACCCTTTTCATACATCCTTGGCATCCAGGGCCACCAAAAGGAAATGGGCTTTCGGGCTCGCCTAAAGAAGCACTTCTCAGATTTGGCTGCGTGCTCACATCACCCGGGGAGCTTGTTACACTGCAGAGTCAGATTTAGTAGCTCTGGGGCCTGAGATTCCGCATTTCCAACAAAGTCCCAGGGAATGTCAGAGCTGCTGGCACACAGACTGCAGTTTGAGAAGCAAGAACCCAGCGTAGGCACTACTCACATTTTGGGCTATACTTCTGTGATGTGAGGGGGGCTGTCCTGTGCATTGTAGGCTGTTTAGCAGCGTCCTTAGCCTGTACCCTCTAGATGCCGGTAGCACCCCCAGACTAGTGTGTCAACCAAGAATACCTCCTGGTCTAGCCCCAACTTACCTACCATCCCAAAGACAACATGGCTGATTAGAATACAAATCAGAAGAAAAGAATCTGACCACACCTTCAGACTCCCATTCAACGCTCCTCCACCTCACCACGGAGCTTCCCAGGTGGCCAGGAGCCAACAGATGAGGATTCAAATGCTCATTGATCAGGCTAGTTCCTGCCTGAGGCTCCCCACGGTCTTCCAATAAAATTCCAGACTCCTCAACTAGCTCAGGATGAGCGCCTGCCATCTCTCCAGACTCTGGCCCCACCACGCTCACAGGTGAACCCAGAGCTTCAGTCATGAGAATGTCTTTCTGTTTCCCGTTTGGGCCACAGGCTCTTCTCACTGTTGAGCCTTTGAACATGCAGTTGCTTCTGCTGGGACTACATCTCCCACTTCTTTGCCTGGCTGATGTGAGTTATCTGTCAGGGCTCAGCCGAGGCGTCCTCTGCTCTGGGAAGAATTTCCTGACCCACCTCAGCTTGGCTTCAATGTGCATCTGGGGCAGTTATCACTCTGAGTTGTGCTTATTTGTCTGTTTTATTCACTACACAATAGCTTGGGAAGTAGGGTAAATGTTAAAACATATGTGATGAATGCATGCATGCATGCATGGGTGAATGAATGAATGGAGGGAATGAATAATTTAGTGAATTATATTTTTAAAAATTCTCACCCAAGATCATGCTTATTGATTTTAGAAAGAGGGGAGGGGAAGGAGGGAGATAGAGAAGGAGAGAAACATTGATCAGTTGCCTCTTGTACTCACTCCAACGGGGGACTGAACCTGTAGCCTAGGCATGTGCCCTGACTGGGAATCAAACCTGCAACCTTTTGATTTATGGGACAATGTTCCAACCAACTGAGCCACACTGGCCAGGGCTTGAATCATCTTTGAATCGTTCCCTCAGTGATAGAGTCAGGAAACTGAAGCGGAGAAAACGGTGGACTCTGAGCCTGGTGATAACTTACGCATTTTTTGCTATGCGCTTCCCCCTTTCATTACAGGGCCTCAAAGCCAGAGGAGATAAAAGACATCTGTTCTTATTCCAAAGATAAAAAGCAGACTTCCCCGTCTCTGCTCAAATCAAACTGTTGGTAAGTCCCTCCCGGAGTTGAAACTGCCTCCCTCAACATCCACTTCAACCAAATTTAGATTCCTGGGCCACCCAGAAGTATACTCCTCTGTTCCCCACCAAGCCTTCAAACCCACAAAGATTTGTTGCTCCTAAATATTTCTGTTAGAAGTGTGTCATAACAAATTGGCCATAATAAAGTATTTCAGTATTATTCATGCCTGTTGAATATTTCAGGAAGAAAAATCCATCCACTTAGAAGAACTAAACAATCAGAAGTGGACATGACCTGGCTTCTGGGCCCCGCCCACCTTTCTTCTGGGTGCTGCCCTTCCCACCCTGTGATCTCATGGTTCATGGGCAGCAACCATATATGTATGACGTGCCCCACCCCCACCCCAGCCTAAGGTGGGCACATGATCTAAGTTAGACCAATGAGCCCCTTCTTCAAGGAGCTTGAAATTTGGGCCAAGAGATGCTACCCAGCCACTTTCTTGAAGAGAGAGACTACGTTCCACCATGTGGAGTAGCAGTAGGAGAACAGAAAGGAAGTCTACAGAGAGAATAAAGCAGATATTCAGGTAGAATGAAGAAAGAAGATTAAGGATTTCTCGGGCTCCCCACAACACTCTGCCATCCCGGTGCCGGCCTTTCCTGAGTCCCCAGCAGCGCTCCTGTCCTTGGGTTCCATGACCTCCCAGTGGCCTTGTAACAAACTCTCCCTTCTGCCTGAGCAAGCTTGAGTGGGTTCTGTTACTGGCTCCCCAGATCCTAACAAGTGTACCATCCAACCTGGGTGGGTCCCTCACCCAAACTTTGGAGCCAAATGGAGAGCATGCCAGCACCTGTCTAATGCAGCCCACAGTACCATATGGTGGCCCACTGTGGTTCCAGGGTCCTTCTGGTCTAAGACAAAGCAGCTCCTTACCGGCAGGCATTTGGCATCCACGATGGAGATCAGCCCAGCCACAAGGCCCAGCACCATGGCAATCCAAGGGTATGAAATCAGGTAACCCGGGACACTCATAGCCACACCTCCTGCCAGCACTGCATTGTGGATATGAGTCTGCAAAGAAATAGCTTGTGGGTGAACAAAGTGAGGCACAGACAAGACAGCATCTTGCCCGAAGCTCTTCATCAGGCTGGTAGTAAGGCAGCACTGTAATGTGCTCCCTGATTCAGTGATCCTGTAACCAGCCATTCCACCCTGTTGAGACCACCTGGCCTGTGTCTGCAGTCTTATCTCACCCCACTTCTCAGGCTCAGGGGGCAGTCGCCCTGTTGGGAGGCATTTAGGGAGTCAGCTTGAAGGAATCATTACTCAGCACTCAGCCACCCTCACACTCATTAGGGATGTGTCCTGGGGCTCTGCACAGTCCAGCGCTTCAACTTTCCTCTGGAAGAAGGGGGGTTGGGTTATACCCGCTTAATACAGGTTATTATAAGAATTAAATGAGTTACCACACATAAAACGCTCAACCCAGTGCCTGGCATGGAATGCAAGTTAAGGCTCGGCTTACCTGCAAGCCACGGTTACCTGCTTTTATGGTATTTATTGGCTACTTGGTGCCTATGCCACTCCGTATGACTGAGCCCAACAAATTGGGTCCAAAATCACATCTCTGCTCTGCCCTTCACTCCTCCAGACCTGGGCCCTGCCTTCTCGTACACTGCTTACCCCTGCCCCCTCAGCTCTAACCAGGTCTAGGAGCTTGGGCCCTCGGACCAGCCCCTGGGCTTCTCCGGCCTGATGGCCAAACCTGCCTCCCTGGATGGCCCGACCTTACCTGATCCTAGACGTCCTGTCCCCACGGAACTCACTTGTGGGGACACCTACCTCCCCTTAGTGTTGTTAACCTGTCATCTACAACCACATTCTCTCCCCTCCAGGCCCCACTGTCTGTCTAGACGTTTCCCCGCCCACTCTGGATGGCTGGCCCCAGGCCCTGATCATCACACGAACTTGTTGTGCCTCTCGCTCTACACTCCACCCTCTCCCGCTGACCCCAGAACTCACACTCAGTCTGCCGGCCCCACTGATAAGAGCAGCTGATGTTCGCCCAGCACTTTCTCCACGGAAAGCACCTGACACACGAAATTCAAGTGGCTTAACCAAGTCCACGGAGCCAGGTTAACGTACTTCTTTACTCCTGATTTTTATCATTCCAATCTTGAAACTTCTTGGGGTAAAGGAAAGTTGACTAATTCTATTCTGGTTTTTCTCTGCTGACTCCTGCTCATGGCAACTGGCTTTAGTAACCAGCAGAAATGGGGTTCAAACCTGAGTCTGGTAGATGTCAACACTGATGACTAAATCACCACCCCACCCCCCGCCCTGCCAGCAAGCCTTTGATCATTGCACAGTCTCCCAAGTTCCCGTGCCCATTTTATAACCTAGCGCTCTTCCTTACGCCCCATGGCACAGGAGACAAGGCTCCATCACCAAGCATGCACTTTCCCAAACCGCGGGGCTGGTGCTGCGGTAGCAGGTGTGAATACGTGCTCCGGGCCTAGAACACCCAAGTGCTGCCCAAAGGGCAGCCCCTGTCCTCACCATGTTGATCTTTCCTTGAGGGTGAGCCAAAGCCGACACGGAGATGGCCGTTACTGCACTGGCTGCAAGAGCGTAGTAGGTGTTGAACACGGCCTTCTTCCTTTCCTCTTGTACTGACAGCAGAACGGAGTTGAAACTCGGCCAGAAGATCCACAAGCAGAGGGTGCCTGGGGGCCACAGAGGGTCACCGGCCAGAACCAGCACTCCCGCTCCAAAGCCCGAGCCTCTGCGGACTTCAGACAGGAGACTCCGGGGCCGGCAAATCTCAGCTTCGTCCCTCTCTCGCTCTGTGACTTTGGGCAAGTCACGTTCCTTCTGAAATCCAGAGTGGGTGGGGCCCAGCTAACCCACTTCACAGGCAAGGAAGCTGAGGCCCTGAGATTTCAGATCACCAAACCCCAGGCCTCCTGACGCTGGCCTTGTGATGGCCCCATGGCCCAACGTTCAGTTGCCTGCTGTCAAGCTCACAGGCTGATTTCCTCTAAGCCTCTCCCAGCTGTCTGAGTTCACCACTGTCACCGCAGCTTTTCAAAATGCACCAGTGTTACTCCCCGGTTCCCACCCCTCACCCTTCCCCCACTTCAGTGGGGGGGAGACCCGAGCCCTCTTCCCTCATCCAATTCCCTCCTTTCAGTTGAGGCTGACCAGGTTGGATAAACTTATTTAAATTGAAATGTAGGGAGTGTCTCCTCTCATTTGGGTAAGGATGAAGAGAGGACCCTAGAGCAAAAGGCCTCATTCAAAGGTCTGAATTCACCAAACACCACTTGGGGAAATAAGTCATCGTGGAGGGGCTTCAGACCCCCCAGAGCAGGCTGGTGACCGACAGGAGTTTTCAATAGAGCATTTTGGAGCCGCCTGCTCACTCCAGCTATGAAACCACCCACCACCTCGTCCTTACCCAGCATGGCAAACAGATTGGGGCTTACTGCCCTCTGGTCTTCCTCCTCTATTTCCTTGGGCAGAGGCTGTGAGAGGCACCAGGCCACGGTGAGCCCGAAATGGGCCGCGAACACGTGGATGTGCATCATGCTTAAGTGGTCATCCGTCTGCAACAAACCAGCGGGAGTAGTGAGTGCCGGTGCCCCACAGGCAGACCCCACTGCTCCCTGGAGACATCTCTGAGCTTTGTGTAGGGGGTGTGACCTGCCGTCACGAGGTGGTGTTTGGGACGTATCCAGCCCAGCAGTTCCCCAGTCAGAGGAGCCACACAAGTAGCTGCGTGTTTATTCCAGGGAGGTTGCAAATTGGTTTTATCAGTAGCTTTTACTTTATATTTTTATCCTTACCCAAGGACATTTTTTCATTGCTTAGAGAGAAGGAGAGACATAAACATGAGTGTGAGAGAGAAACATCCACTGGCTAGCTGGCTAACTCCCATACGTGCCCCAAGTAGGGATTGAACCCACAGCCTAGGCACGTGCGCTCACCAGGAATCAAACCTACAACCTTTCAGTATACGCTCGGAGCACCTGAGCTACTCCGGCCAGGGCTTATCAGTAGCTTTCAGACACTTTTGGCTGAGGTTTGCTTGGGTGGGGCCAAAAGCCACAGGATCACACACCCTCACTGCTTCCTACTTTTCAGCAGAATTTCATGGAATTGTGAGTGATATAAACTTTGCAACATGAAACGGCCAGACTTCTCAAAACTGAAGTCTTTAGTAAATTGTAGGCATGTGCTAATTTTGCTTTATGAATATCAAATTTAGTCATCTTTACTAACTCGAGTAGTGGGCTACTCCTAAATCTTGTTGACTGTGCCTTCAAAAATATCCTGAATTGGCAGAATTTTTACCACCCCAGCTCACTGACCTCACCTTGGTTTAAGCCACCACAACCCAAAATTACTGCAATAACCTTCTTAACAAGCAATCAAAGTTAACATCCTCAGCATTGAGATAAATGCCACTACCTTGCTGAATGATTTTGGAGAGTGCCTTCCCCTCTCTGGGCACCAGCTTTCTCACCTTCAATCAGCCTTCATTTCACTTGACTATACCCGACCACAGGGTCTCAACTATAGCAGAAGAACTGGGAAAACCATCTGGTCTGGCCTCGGCCTTAGACTTTTGACCATTTTCCCCAATGAGATCACGTAGATCGTTTGTGATACACACTGACAAGTCTGAAAGAAGATGAGGGTTATGCAGCTTGCTGGACCACAGCTGGTGGGGCCACTGGAATTAATGATCTTTTTTTTTTTTTGACTTTTAAATATAATTTTATTTAGGTATAATTTAGTTACTATACAATTCATCATCATCCATTTAAGTATACAATTCAATGATTTCTGACCATTTATGCAAGCGTGCAAACAAAAATTAATGATCTTTTTATACATCCCATAATTATCTTGCAATTCCTACAGTATCATATTTGGAAGTTAAAGGCATTCATGTGCTGTGTTTAAACATTTAGCATAGGTCACATTTCTGTAACCTTATTTGGGGCTGGCTTTATTTTTCAAAATCCCAGAAACCTCACCAAATGGAGGCCACCCTTTCCCCCTCCTCACCCTTCCTCACAGAACCACGACTCACAAGGAAGACTTGCTTGTCCAAATGCCTCGTGGCTCCAAAGGTTGTCACCTCTAACAGCACCATGAACAGGAACTGCACTGGGTTGGCCTTCCGCAGGACGGCACCCGCTGAGATCAGCACAGACATAGCGCTCATGGTGGCCCGCAGAACGCTGGGGAGAGAGGGCGAGACAGTGATGCCTGAGGAGGAAGGATGCGTATCATTCATCCACTCCTTTAACAAACGCTTGTCGAGGATCTACTACTCTCTGCCTGGCACTGTTCAAGAAGCTTGGGGCACAGTAGGAGAACAAGAAGGCAAGGTTTCTACCTCCAAGCAGGACTGATGCTGCACAGCCTGGGCTTTCCTTCGTGCCCCTCTTCCATCGGGTTGATAGCTCTACTCTGAGAGATTGATCTCACATCCGTACTGAGGATGCGCGGAGGTTCTCATAGGTATGTTACTGTGAGTTACAGACCACATTTTCCCTAGGGCCTCCTTTCTGGGATCTGACAACCGGGACTCCGCTTATGGCTTTTCCTCCACTGTCATCACTTACAAATGCTCAATAGAGGGCGCTCTTCACCTGCGTACCCCACCAGCACCTTCATCTGCTTTGTACCGGGGTTGGAAGTAGAACAAGCCTGACTTCCAGTCTCAGCTTTTCCGCTTGAGTGGCTATTTATTTAATCTCACTGAGCCTGTTTCTCCATCTGTAGACTGATAATAAAATTATCTCATGGTACTGTTGTGGGGATTAGAACAAACATTGGTGCTTGTGTATCTAGCACCACCACAGCACAAAGAACTGGGGAATAGAAGCAGGCATTATCAGCACCATTACTGATTCCTTCCTCCCCTTGACAAATGAGCAAGCTCAGTGTGGGGATTCGGAAGGAGAAAACGATTTTTGTTCTTGAGGAACTTGTGATTCAGCTGGAGAGACAGGGCTGACATCATGAACCGAGGTATCACTATCTGTGTTATAAGGAGGCTAAAGGGAGACACTGAAGACAGAATAGTGTGGACTGGACTAGTCAGGGAGGGCTTCCTGGGGGAGATGGCACTGAATACAGCAATCCATGGTGGTTTAACCAACCATCCTCCCCTGGGTACCTTTCTCTGAGACCATCCCTCCCTGGAAGTTGATAATGATGACACTACAACCACCACCATGATAATAACTTTTTCTAATAATCAAAATAGTTCATATTGTAACTTAAAATAAGATTCTTTCACATAAAAATAGCAAACTATAATTAATGCTTTGTCTGCCCTCTAAGAAAAGGACATTAAAAATGCTGGACATGAAGATATTAGTTGCATTTCTTATATTTAATTTCCACATTTCACATTTGCTATTCAAATTTTACCCAGATCTAGTTCACCTGTCCTTTACACAGTGTTTCACATTGTATTTATGATTTTAGAATTGCATTTATTAGCCTGTGGCTATTGAGCATTTGGAAAATGGCTAGTCCAAGTTGAGATGTGTTTATAAATGTAAAATATACCAGAATTTGGAGAGTTGGTATGAAGAAAGGAATTTAAGAACATGACAATAGTGTATTGAGCACCATGTATAACAGGCTTGCAACCACAGCACCTCATTTAAATTTTTTTCAATGACAGTTGACATTTAATATTATTTTCTATTAGTTGCAGTTGTACAGCACAGTGACTAGATATTTATATAATTTATGAGGTGACCCCCTCCTAATTCCAGCATCTACCTGGCACCGTATGTAGTTATTACAATGTTATTGACTGTCTTCCCTGTGCTGCATTTTACATCCCCGTGACTATATGACTACCCATTAGTACGTCTTAATTTCCTTACCCTTTCCACCCGGCCTCTCAACCCACCTCCCATCTGGTACGATCAGTTTTTTTCTCTGTATCTATGAGTCTGTTTCTGTTTTGTTTGCTCATTTATTTTGCTCTTTTTTTTTTTAAAGATTTTATTTATTTATCTTTAGCGGGGAAGGGGGGAAGGAGAGAGGGAGAGAAACATCAATGTATGGTTGCCTTTTGTGCATCCCCTGCTGGGAACTGGCCTGCAGGGAACCGACCTGCAACCTAGGCATGTGCCCTGACTGGGAATCGAACCGCGATCGTGTGGTTCGTAGGCCCACGCTTAATCCACTGAGCTACACCAGCCAGGGCTCTATTTTGCTCTTTTTATATTTTTAAAAATGTTTTATTTACCTATTTTTAGAAAGAGGGGAGGGAGGGAGAAAAAAAGGGAGAGAAACATCAATGTGTGAGAGAAATATTGAGTGGTCACCTCCTGCATGCTCCTAGCTGGAGACCTGGCCTGCAACCCAGGTACATGCCCTGACTGGGAATTGAACCAGTGACCTTTCAGTTGGTAGGCCAGCACTCAATCCACTGAGCCATACCAGCCAGGGCTATTTTGTTCTTTAGATTCCACATACAACTGAAATCATATGGTATTCATCTTTCTCTCTTGGACATATTCTACTTAATATAATACCCTATAGGTACATCTATGTTTTTGCAAATGGCAAGATTTTAATTTTATGATTAAGTAATATTTCATTGTATATGTGAACCACATCTTTATTCACTTGTCTGTTGATGGGCATTTGGCCTGCCACCAGTCTTAGCTTTGCGAATAATGTGGCAATGAACATAGGGGTGCAGACAAATATTTTCAAATTAGGGTTTTGGATTTCTCCAGATATATACCCAGAAGTGGAATTGCTGGGTCATAAGGCAGTTCTGTTCTTAATTTTTTGAGGAAGCTCCCTACTGTTTTACATAGTGGCCGTACCAATTTGCAATCCTGCAAACAACGCGTGAGAAACTTTCCTCACTCTCACCAACACTTGTTTGTTGATTTATTGACGATAGCCATTCTGACAGGTGTGAGGGGATATCTTACTGTGGTTTTAACTTTCATTTCTCCGATGATTAGTGATGTTGAGCATCTTTTCACATGTCTATTGGCCATCTGTATGTGCTTTTTGGAGAAATGTCTATTTAAGTCTTTTTATTTCTTTTTTTATTTTAAAAGATTTTGTTTATTTTTAGAGAAAGGGGAAAGGAGGGGAAAAAAGAGGGAGAGAAACATCAGTGTGTGGTTGCCTCTCACACACCTCCTACTGGGAACCTGGCCCACAACCCAGGCATGTGCCCTGACTGGGAGTCGAACCAATGACCCTTTGGTTCACGGGTTGGCTCAATCCACTGAGCCACACCAGCCAGGGGTGCTTATTCTTAGTTGGATTACTTTTTGGTGTTGAGTTGCATGAGTTCTTTATAAATGTTTGATGTCAACCCTTTATTGGATGTATTATTGATATATATATTCTCCCATTCAGTAGGTTGTCTTTTTGTTTTGTTGATGGTTTCCTTGCTGTGCAAAACTTTTTAGTTTGATATAATTTTACTTATTTATTTTTACTTTTATTTTCCTTGCCTGAGGAGATATATCAGAAAAAAATTACTAAGAACAATGTCAGAGATTTTAATGCTTATGTTTTCTTCTAGGAATTTTATGGTTTCAGGTCTAACATTTAAGTTCTCAATCCATTTTGAGTTTATACTTGTACATGGTAGAAGAACATGGTCTAGTTTCTTTCTTTTTTTTTTTTTGCACATTTTTTGTCCAATTTTTCCAATACCACTTATTGAATAGACTGTCTTTACCTCATTGTATATCCTTGCCTCTTTTGTCATATATTAATTGAACATATAGGCATGGGTTTATTTCCAGGCTCTTTATTCTGTTCACTGATCTATGTGTTTGTTTTTATGCCAGTACCATGCTGTTTTAATTACCATAACTATAGGGAACTGTTGAGCATGGCATGGGGAATGTAACCCAGCCCCTGATTTGGAAAACTAATGGGTTACAAGGTTGGCACACAGGACCCACGCTCAAGGATAGGTTTTCCCGCGGGGAATCAGGCTTGCATTACACCTAGGTTGCTGTGAGGCTTGCTTTTGATAAAACTTCCTCACCCTGGATTGAGGCAGAAAATGCTCACTGCATATCTTTAAAATGGCGTCCTAAAGTCTGAGCTAAACCTCCCAAATTTGAAGTGTAACCAGTTTGACCACTTTTCCCCTTGTATCTGCAACATCCTTCTCTTTGAAAGAATTAGCAACATTCTTTCCTTTGTTATCTGTAAAAGGTAATCACCTACAGGGAACCTGTGCATAGTAAATGAGGACCATCCTCTGTAATGTACCCAGAAAAGCAACAAAAGCTTGTCCAGGCAGGGGTCGGGGCCCTCTCTCTTACTTAGAGAGCGGCCATGCCATCTGTCCCTTTTTCTCCACAGGACTGCTGTAGTCTGTGTGAATTTGTTTGTTGCAGCCACAATGCACAGACCTCGTGGGCCAGAGTCCACATCACATAACCTTGAAGTATAGTTTGCTGTCAGATGGTGTGATTCCTCCAACTTTTTCTTCTTTCTCAAGATTTCTGTGGCTGTTTGGGTCTTTTGTGGTTCCATATAAATTTTAATATTATTTTTTTCTGGTTCTGTGAAAAATGTCATTGGTATTTTGATAGGGATTGAATTGAATCTATAGATTGTTCTGGGTAGTGTGGACATTTTAATGATGTTAATTTTTCCAATCCATGAGCACAGTATATGTTTTCACTTATTTGTATCTTCTTCAATTTCTTCCTTTAGTGTCTTTTAATTTCCCAAGTACAGGTTTTTTACCTCTTTGGTTAAATTTGTTCCTAGGTACTTTAATTTATTTTTTGGTGCAGTTGTAAATTTTTTCTTAATTTCTCTTTCTGATAGTTTATTATACAAAAAAAGATACCAGTTTCTGTATATTAATTAATTTCATATCTTGCTACTTTACTGAATTTATTTATTAGTTCTAATAGTTTCTTGGTGGAATTTTTAGGTTTCTCTCTATATAGTATTATGTCATCTGCAAATAATGACAGCTTTACTTCTTCCTTTCCAATTTGGATGCCTTTTATTTCTTTTTCTTGTCTGATTACTGTGGCTAGGATTTTCTTGTTTAGATTTTAGTCCCCCAAGTGACCATCTATAAATGGCGCTAGGGTACCATTCAGTGCCTCCATTTTACAGAAGAGGACACTGAGACTAGAAGAGGAGACTTTTTTGGCAATGCCCACACAGCTAGCTAATGCGAATGTGAGGTTCAAACCTCGCTGTGCTCTGGAAGTCCAAACACAGCGTCCCCATTGTTTGCTGTCAAAGTATAGTCCTGGCTCAGAACTTCAGAGGGAAGATCAGAGGGCAAAGGGCAAGGAAAGGAGTCTCACAGGAACCAGGAATTATTTAGGATTCCTTACTATGTGAGGAAAACACAGGACAAAGTTGAATAAGACCGGCCCCTGCCCTGAAGGAACTGGTCATGGGTGACTCAGGCAGAACCAATCCAGCGCCCAGTCAGACTGCACTGAGTGGGTGAGGCTGAGGGAGAGGGAGAGTCCCCATCTGGGTGGCGGGCCTGAGCACCACCCAGCAGCCCAGTCCAGCTGGAAAGGTCAGGAAGGAACCCATCCTTCAAATCTGTGATGCCACTCTCAGCAGGGGTCATGGTTGGGAGGATCCAGCCAGCCAGAGGTGGGGCAGGGAGGTCAGTCAGGCTGCAGATGACCTTTCCTCATCTTTCTAGATTGAGGCAAGAACAAACAGGTCCCCACAGGCAGAACCACAGAAGAAGGGAGCAGCCCACAGATGCCTGTAGACAGAGGAACACAAGGCTGACGGCTTATGTGACCTTATGCCCAGGCTGCAGGGACACTAGACCAGGGCCACCACTGTCAGAATTCCCCCAGAACTCCCTTCTATTATCACTTCCCACGTCGATACTGAGGCTATTGGATCCCCATGGGGATTTGCTCTAAAATGATTTAGAAGAAAAAAAGTGGAGAGTTTTTTTTTTCAGGGTCAGTAGGGAACTAACCAGACGGTTTAATGTCATGACTACTTAGATTGTGCTGGAAGATAATTAAAGCTAAAGCCATGTCACTACTTAGTTATGTGACCCTAGGCAAGAGCCTTATGCTCCCTGAGCCTTGCCTGTACACCAGGTTAGACCCCTACTGGACGCGTTACACAGAATAGTTTGTCAAGTACCTGGCACAGTGTCTAGGGCAGTGGCTAGCTCATGGCAGTGTTCAATGGCACTGCCATGTTCAATGGCAGTGCCCAGGGGTTTAGCAGGGTCTACAAGGGGAGGACAGAGTGAGCTTGAGAGGTGACAGGTTCTACAAGATACCTAAAATGGCATTTACAATCATCTGGGAAGGACAGGGATTCAGGGTCACTTAAAAGAAACAAAAAAGATTTAAGGAAAAAGTTTTACCTAGTTCCTCCTGTCAAGTACTAGCTAATACTTTTCTTTTGAGCATCCAGCTTGATAGATATATATATACCCTTGTATAAACCATTACCCAAGGTAACAGAGAACATTTACTACATCCATAAGGTTCTTTTGTGCTCCTTCCTAACTAGTAACCACTGCCTTCCCCAGATAACTATTATTCTGACTTCTAGTAACATGGGCTAATTTTGCTGGTTCTTAGAACTTCATATAAATACATCTAAATGGATCAAAATAAATTTAACAAAAGTGAAGACACAGCTATTTCTTGTCAATCAGCATTTGAGAACTAAGAGTACTTTGTTTTTAAGAGACTGTCTAGCTGAGTGTAGACAGTCTCTTGAGATTTTTCTTTCTGCCTTATCTCCATTCATTTTCCTTTGAACCCATATTGATTGGGTAAGTTTACAAAATCATATTCAGTAATAAAGGGAGGACTTAGGGAGAGCTGTAGGTCTGGAGTCGTCAGATAAAGTATATGATGCCCAGTTAAATTAGAATTTCAGATAAACAATGAGTAATTTGTATGTCCTAAATATTGCATGTTTTTATTATTATTATTTATCTATCTTTAGAGAGGAAGGGAAGGGGAGAGGGAGAGAAATACCAGTGTGTGGTTGCCTCTCATTACATCTCCTGCTGGGAACTGGCCTGCAACTCAAGCATGTGCCCTGACTGGGAATCGAACCACGATCCTTTGGATTAGCAGGCCGGCGCTCAATCCACTGAGCTACACCAGCCAGGGCAGAACACTGCACGCTTTTGATGCTAGAAAGAGAAGGGGTCACTCTGTCCTTTCTAGAACCCACCGTCTCGGGCCCCATACTCTCAAGGACCCAATTGCGATCCCACTGCCAGGTACCTGGACAGTTCGATGACCACTTTCCCAGGGGTGTGCTGGTCCAGGAAGCCATCCACCAGCACCGCCCACTGCACCCCGAGGGCCAGCATGAGGAAGTTGAAGGCCACGCTGCTCCAGCGGAATCTCCGCAGAGACGAGGTGAGGAAGCCCAGGCCGAGGGCCGCCATGATGGTGACATCCTGGAGGAAGCCTGCGGGAGGTGACATTGAGCAGGAGGAAGAGAAGCAGACAAGGGAGATGTCGGAAGAAAGGCTTTCAACCTTTTTCATCTCATGGCACACAAATTAATTACTAAAATTCTGCAGCACACCAAAATATACATTTTTGGGCTGACCTGACCAAAAAATAGGTATAATTTTGATACATTCACACTGAATGGCTATTGTTGTGTTGGCTGTTGTCATTTTTTTTTAATGGACAATCTAAGGCACAGGTGGCAAACACAAAGCCCGACCTTGTTTCTACCTGGTGGCAGCACTGAGCTCTCGCTTAACTGTTCTGGAGTAGTCACCTTTATGCCGTCCTAAAATTACATCTGGCCCTTTGAAGGCAACTGGGAGGCTGATCTGGCTCCCGGTGAAAATGAGTGTGATGCCCCTGAGGGAAAAGAGATCGTGCCCCTCACTCAACAGTCAGGTGTTGCTTGTTTTGAAAGTCCTGTGGCACACCAGTTGCAAATTGCTGAGGTAAAGGGTCATGTGAAATTGGAGTTTTACAGAATGGCAGCTGGAAGGGATGTTAAAGATCATTTGTGAGAGCTTGGTCAAGTTACTTCACCTCTTTGAGCCTCAGTTTTCTCATCTGAATAATGGAGGGTTCGTGCCATGCAGGGCCGAAGGAGGGATTAGATGAGCTAAACTGGTTAAGCATAAAGGCAGGGCCTGCCCGGCCCATCAATAGTGCTCAGGAAATGTAGCAATTATTGTTATGATTAAACATAATGATGTGAGCAAGTGTGGCGCATCAGGGCCCATGGCTGGCATGCAGCTGACACTCGGTACAGGTAATTACTTCTGCTGTTGGGGATCAGGTTCAACCTCCTGGTCACAAGCATGAGGAAATAAGGCCATAGAGGCCAGTGGCTTGGCCCAGGTCATGTGGGAAAGAGGGAGGAGAAGCAGGGCCAGAGGTTCTGTTGGCAAGAACCAAATTATATTTGCAGAAAACAGCCATGTCCCTTTGCCACCTGCTGAGTCGGACCTGGTGGGCCAGCAGTAAATGCCAGGACCACCTGGATGACCCACACCTTCCCGTACTCAGACCCAGCACGGGGGCCACTGTGTCAGGTGAATACGGGAGACTTACCTAATGTTAGAGAGACGTCCTGCAAGAGAAAAGGGGTGGATGCTTTGATTTAAATCCAGGCTTGAAAAATGGTTAGCAGCTTGGTCTCTAGCACCAGGCAAGCTTGGGTTAAATCAGGGCTCTGCCACTGTCCAGCTCTGACATCTTTATCTGACTCTTTAGCATCTCTGAGCAATGACACCCAATATTTATTAAGTGTTTATCAGTGTTTATCTGGTACCAACACTATTTTAATAATTTTACATAAACCATCTCGTTCAGTTCTCACAATGACCTGCAAGGTGGATGCTGTTATTGTTACAATTTGACAGATAGGAAAACTGAGGCCCAGAGGAGCTAAGGAACTTGCCCAGGCTGCTAGAGCTAGGGTTTATCCACCCTGTTAGTCTTCACATCTGTGAAATGGGAAAAATAACCTTGTATGGTTTGGCAGAATCCAATGGTATAGTGCACAGAATCACTCTGAATAGTAAAGGCTATTTTGTCAACAAACACCAACTATTTTTACATGTGTAAAAATGTCTGGAGAGAGATCTTGAAGGAATTTTTTGCCCTAACGGATATTGTATCTGGTTTGGGAGAGTTTTATTTTGTAAAAAATTTGCAGTGTTTAAATTTGCTACAACCTGTTGTAGACAGTAAACACCTTTAAAAAGAGACCAGAAAGAAAGCATGGGCCCTGAGTTCAGACAGTTCTGACTGATTCTAGCTCTATCCGTCCCCATTAGGTTAACCCACGTTAAACTGCCAACATTTGACCATTTTTTGCCTATAAAAATGGCAGTTTATAGGTTTCTACTTCACAGCCATGTGGCCTTGTAGGTTGCTGACCTTCCTCATCAGTTAATTAAGGGCAATCATCCCCCCCCAGAGGGCGCTGGGTGATGTGAAGGCAGTAATGTTTGTTTGAGCGCCTGGCACTCGGAGGACGCTCGGTGAGTAGAAGCTATTTCCTCACCACCACCGTCACCATCACGGCCATGAGAACTCCCCTGGTCTCCATGGGTCTCCAAAGTCTCAAAAAGCCCCCTCAACTTACATTTGAATTAATTTTCATTGAAAAACACACACACCTAAGGTCTTGCACCTGGAGCTTGGGTGCTTGTTGATGTTCCTAATCTAACAACGCGGGGATGTAGGAGACCTCTGAGGACCTCCATGGGGTCTGGGGACTTGGGGAGTGGCTGAGAAGGGGGCGTTCAGGAGGATTCAACTTCCTGTATCTTCTTCTCTGGCAAGAGGGAGGAGAAGGGTGCAGGCAGTGTCTCGGTTTCCGGCTTGCATCCTCCTAGGAATGGGGTTGGGCCCGAGGGGGGCAGGGCGCGTTTTGCCCAGGGCTTCCTCTCGGGGTGGCTCGGACTCCTACAGGAGCCAAGCAGAAAACCAGGTGTGTGAAGGGTGGGATTCTACTTGGGAGTGGTGAGGCCTGCGGCCAGTTGGACACTGCACACCCCACTTTAGATATTCGAAGTCGGTCTTTTATTAAATGCTGCTGTTCAAACAAACACACTTGCCGTTTCACAGCAACACTATAGGCATAGGGTTCAGAGTTCCTGAAGACTTCATGAATAGGGACACCCTTCCATCTTCCTCCCATTTTATAGAAGGGGACCAGCAAGAGCCTGTGAATTCCTCAAGGCCACACAGCATGCCAGTGGCAAAGCCAAGCTCTGAATTCCTGGTACAGTGCCCTTCCACCAGGCTAGGCCATCTCTTGCTCTTATTTGCCCTCGCCTGGCTAAGAGACCTTAGGCAAGTCCTTTGCCCTCTTTGGGCCTCAGTTTTCCTATCTGTAATGCATGGGAGTTGGGTGTGGTACTGTCTAAGGACCTCAACATTCTGGAATATTCAGAGGAGGCTATCAGTGGGTGAGGAGAGGGGGGTCACCAGGATGAGTGCAGAGGTGGGGCACTAAGATGAGAAACTCACAGGACCTTGGCTGGGGGCTTCATCAGGCACAGCTGCCACCCCTGCCAGGTACAGGAGCTTTGGGTCTTCCTCCCCAAGGCCCCACACTGTCCCTCAGCCAGGGGGATGAAATTAGGGTGGCAATTTCTGGGAGCTTTTGACAGAGCCCATTCACCCCACACTGGTCAGTAAATAATGTTTTTATTTTGGGTCCCTTCTTCTTTTACCCCCTGTCCTCTCCCAGCCTCCCAGGGTGCTGGGTCCACACCTGCTCCTCCCATGTCTCCCTGCCTGGACCGCACTGCAGGGCTGGGTCCCCCAGCTCTGGGCACCCCTATTGATGTCGGCCGCCATCTCTCAGAGCCTGTGTTACACCCACATCAGCTGCTGGTTTGATAAGCTCATGACTCTAAGGTGTCCAAGAGTGACAAGGAATGGACATGGTCCAGGGCCCCATTTAATGGGCCCTGGAGGAGAATTTTGCAGTCTGACTTGGAAAAAGAAATTTAACCTGGGAGTCCAGCAGCGTGAGATGAGGCAATAATCACCATCACTGTAATAGCAGACATATATATGGTGCCCTCCACATATCAGGCTCTTTTGTTCCAAGCACCTGACAGGCTTAACCTGCAACAACCTTGTGCCGTAAGTGCTTTTTATTATCCCCTCTGTACAGATGGGTGAAGGGAGGGACAGAGAGATGCTGCACACCCCTCTGGTCTACTAACCGACCCAGGTCACACAGCTAGCAAATGGTGGTGGGAGATCTGAATCCTGACCACTCGGCTATCACCCCCACACCATCCTACCTCTCCGTGCAGCATGTATAGTGTGATGGTGAAGGGTGAGGTGTCTGAGTGAGCTTGTTAGAGTTCACAGCTTGGCTCTACCTCTGCGCCCCAGCTTCCTAATCTGCAAGATCAGAACCTACTCAGAGGATTGCTGGGAGCCCTGAGCTCACTGGCTCATGCACATCACTGAACCTAGCGCTGGGTGCATGGTGAGTGCTGGCAGCTGTTGTCCTATGCTGGCGACTTGTTAGCTGTGTGACTTTGGGCAAGACTGTGCCTGCCCTCCCCTCTCCCTGGCCTGCCTCTGGCCTGGAGGCCCCAGCGATTCTAGCTCTGAATTCCTGCATACCCTTGCCCCTCCTTCTGGCCTGTGGACACATCAGCACCATCACCTCTGAAGCCAGGACCACCTTCTGCCCTCAGACTCTGGGCTTCACCTCCACATTGTGCTTTCCTCTGCTGACTGGGAAGACCTCAGCAGGCCCAGACTGGGACCTGTCCATGGAGCCTCGTGCTGCCTTCCCCTCGCCACACCCTCTACTCCTACCCTCACCCCTGCAGCAGCCTGGGTAGAGAGAAAGAGATTTCCCAATCAGAGGAAAGCTAAAGCTAAGATGTGGAAGGCACCAGAATTTGATGGTATTCTTGAGTCACTGGCAAAGCTCCTGTTGTCTTTTGGTAGATCTCCTTCCAGCTTCTGAGGAACACAGGGGAGAACTGGGTGGTAGTCATAGTGCAGGGCCCAGGCTTGTCCCCAATTTGGCAGCCTTACAGTAGGCTCTGTGTGACAGATTTTTATGGTAATTCCCACAATGACTCATGCCTTTCAATGCAGCACCTCCCACCTGGATTGGGCCTTGTGATTTGCTTTGGCCAATGGGACATTAGTAAACATATTAGTAAACATAACACAAACAGAGACTTGAAAAGCACCTGCGCATTGGGGCTTGCCCTCTGCTGCCATGTGAAGAGGTCTGGTAGCTGCCAGACATGTGAATGAGACCATCTGAGGCTGTCTGCCCCAGTCAGATCTCCAGGCTGGACATGTATGAGTGACCTCAGGTGAAACCAACAGAAGAACCATATTGCTGAGCCCAGCCCAAAGTGCTGAACCACAGAATCATGATCCTGAGCAAATTACATTGTTGCAATGTTAAGCCACCGAGTTTGGGGATGGTTTGTTATGTAGCAATAGATAATTGATACACTCTGCTTTTCTTCAGTATCTCAGAGGCACCTCAACCCCAAGCACACAATAAACATATCATGGTTCACTTATCCCACAGTCTGCCCTTTCCTGTGCCTCTCCTTTCATGAACTGGCATCTCCATTTGCCAAACCACACATCTGAAGCCATCTTTGACAACTTCATTTTCACCAAGCACAGTTGATTTTATCTCTTAAATCCAACTCTTTGCTTCTCCTTTACTCCTCCTGCCCATTTGGCCTCATCGCAGGTTATCCAGACCAGTGGTCATCAGAGTAGAGAACACACACTCCAGAAGATGCTCCGGACAATCCATACAGACTGCTGAAGGGGATATTAATACTTCTAGTTTTATTTATTTTTATTTAAAAAAATTAAAAATGAAACTCTGCTGATAATAAAAGCTAATACTCTTATCAGACTTTATATGTGTTAATTATTTTGGTCCTTTCAACAGCTCGATGAAGTAAGAACTGTCATGCCACAGAGGTTGAAATGGAGGCAGAGAGAGGTTGAGTAATTTGCTCAAGGTCTCACAGCTAAGAAGAGGCAGAGGCAAGATGTGAACCAGTCTAACTCCAGTAGTTCTCAAAACTTCATGCGCATTAGAATCGCTTCAGGAGGTTGGTAAAACAGAGTGCTGGGCCCCACCTCTGGTGTTCCTGAGCAGTGGGTATGGACTAGAACCTGGAAACCTGTTCTTCTAGCCAGTTCCCAGGGGCTGCTGGTCTAGGGGGCCACACTTTGAGAACCACCGATCTATGCTATTTTACCTCTAAAAGCACTTGGTGAAGTTTGCAACACTGCAAATATTTAATATTTATATTAACCCAGAAGCCTCCTCTTATGCAGAATGTCAGATAGTTTGGAAGCTGTCCTAGCTTTGGCAGGTGTCCTGAGGGAATATTGGAACCCTGGGAAGGGGTCGATACGCGTTTTCTCCATATTCATCAGGTTGCAACTAATTGCAGGTTTAAAAAAAAATTTAACTTTTTATTATGGAAAATTTCCAGCATATGCACAAACAGAGAGAGTAGTGTGGGGACCTCATGCAGCCCATTCCCAGCGTTAATGGTTGCCATGGAGATTCAGCCCTATTTTCATTATTCTTCTCCCCTTGTTCTCTTCTTTTCACTTTTCTTTCATTCTTTCTTTCGGCATAAAATAGGCCCCAGACATTATTCCATTTCAATGTTTCTCTAACAAATAGGGGCTTAAAGAAAACCCACTATGCTATTATCACATCCAACAAAACTAACAGTAATTCCTGTATATCATGTAATATTTATGCTAGATTAATTCCCTGATTGTCTCCAAAATGTCTTTTTCATTTTTTTAAAGATTTTAATTACCCTTAGAGAGAGAGGAAGGGAAGGAGAAAGAGAGGGAGAGAAACACCAATGTGTGGTTACCTCTCATGTGCCTCCTATCAGGGACCCAGCCTGCAACTCAGGCATGTGCCCTGACTGGGAATTGAACCACTGACCTTTTGGTTCCCAGGCTCGTGTTCAATCCACTGAGCTACATTAGCCAGGGCTCCAAAATATCTTTTTTAGAATTGGTTTGTTTAAATAATTTATTGTAGTTTACATGGACTAGATTAGATGAAGTGGATCAGCAGATTAAATTACCTAGTTTTAACTAACTGACCTTCACAAAATGAACTAGTGGCTTAAACAACTTTTTGCAATACTTACCCTTGTATGAATTTTTTGTCAGTCACATTCAAGGTTTTAAACAAATGTCAGTATAATCAGCTAGCAAGAAGTCAATCAACATAATTTGAAGTTATTGAGAAGACTCTGAGAAATGAATTTCCATCCACTATCAGTAATGGTAACACTGGACCTTACCTTGAGACTGACATCCTCCTGATCAATAGTTAGAAAATATATTTCACTTTGACCTTTGAAATTTTCTAATTTTAATGTACGTATTATGTACAAAATATATTCATGTACCATGACGAATCTGGTGTGTACTAGAAAATGGCATAGACTATAGGGAACCTATCTGTGTGGTATGGGGGATGCAGCCCAGCTCCTACTCAAAAAGGTCAGTGGGGAGCAAGGTCGGCACACAGGACCCACACCCATGGATAGGCGTTCCCGTGGGGAGTCAGGCCTCCATTGTACCTAGGCTGCTTTGAGGTTTGTTTTTGCTAAAACTCCCTCACCCTGAATTGAGGCAGAAAATGTCTACTGCATATCTTTAAAATGGCTTCCTAGAGTCTGTGCTTAAACCGCCCAAGTATGGAGTGTAACCAGTTCAACCACTTTTCCCCCTTGCATCTAAAACATCCTTCTCTTTGAAGGAATTAGCAACATTCTTTCCTTTGTTATCTGTAAAAGGTAATTGCCTACAGGGAACCTGTGCATAGTTAATGAGGACCATCTGCAATGTAATGTACCCAGAAAAGCAACAAAAGCCTGTCCAGGCAGGGGTCCGGGCCCTCTCTCTCTGAGAGTGGCCATGCCATCCCTTTTCTCCACAGGACTTCTGCAGTCCGTGTGAATTTGTTCATTGCAGCCACAACACATGGACCCTGTGGGCCAGGGTCCACATCAGTGGACAGTCTGAAAAGCCTGAAGCCACCACACTGGTGTCCCCCCTGGAGTCAGTCATGCCCTGTCTCCCAACCCCTATGCCAGCCTGGGGACGGTCTTCTTCATCACCCAAACCCAAACTCATTATGTCCTCTTAGGTCAGCAGAAGGAGGGTTGAATTCGTTACTGAACCCAATGGGCTTACCATGCCTTGCCGACTCCTAATGTTCCAACAACACTGCATTGTCAAACCCCCATCTGGTCCACTCTAGTGAGTGCACTTGCAGTGGTTCCTGCTGTGCTCTTGACCTTCTGTTCTCACATGATCAACTCCTACTGAATCTCCAAGACCTGACTCGGTAGTCACCTTCCTGCGTGGGTTGTGGGCCCTCCTCTGCGCTTCCACATGGAGTGAGTGTCTGAGGACACTTTATATCTGTGGTAGCTGCACAGCACAGGAGTGAAGGACTTAGACCCGGGGCCAATCAACAGAGTTGGAATACCGGCCCCAACAATTGCTGGGTATATGACAAGTGACTCTACATCATTGTAAAATCGGGCCATGAAACATAATGGCCAAGTGTATGAGACCTAAACCAGGCTGCCTAAATTTAAATTGCTGTGCTTTTGCTAGCCGAGTGACGTTGGGCAAATTATTTAACATCCACGTGCCTGATTTCTTCATAGGAAAAACATCTTAATAGTACCAATCTCATGGGGTTATTGTGAGGGTTCGGTGAAAGCATTTAGAATAGTGCCTGGTATACAGTAAGAGCTCATTAAATATCAGCCCTAATTAGCATGTGTCTGGATCACACACTAGTTGTGATACAGGGTTGAATGAATGAATGAATGAATGCACTGAATCACACTGTATTGGATTGAATGAATGAATGAATGAATGCACTGAATCACACTGTATTGGATTAAAAAGAGTTAAAGTAAGTGGAAATGAATGAGAATTGTGCCCAGGCCTTGCCTGTCTACAAGGGCTCCACAGGGCCAGACCACTGAGTCATTCCCTCCCTAAGGGTTTGGGAGAGAATGGGTTTCCCTCCCTAAGTTCTACTTTCCACTGCTGAGGGCCCACGAGTGCCTTTCCTTTGCTTCCAGCTGTCAGTCAGCATCACTAAGGAACAAGCAAGTACTCAACCAAACTCAAGCATCAGCTTTATCTCAGCAATGTGGCTCAAGGAGGACTGTCCATTATCATGAACAACATATTGCCCACTGAGACGTTTGAAAACTTATCTCAAGTTTTGTAAAAAGCAAAAGCCATACCACTGTGGACATCTGTCTTACTTGCTATTGCTGTCATCACTGTCTGAATATTTTTAGCCGCATATAAATTACCAGCCGTCCCACACTCCCCTTCAGTTACAGCTTATGGCTCTGGAGGGCAGAATGCAGACCCTTCAAGCTTCCCAGTGAGAAGAGGCCTGGGGGTGGGGGAGGGGCAATAGACTGAAGCCTCTAAAAGGAGGTTGGTACAGAAATGAGCAAGAGAGACTCAAACCAGATAACAAAAACAAAAAAACGGACCATGTGAAATTCCTTGCCACTAAGGAGAGAGAAGTTGGGGGAAGCAGAGAATTATGAAGACTATTTGGCAAAGGGGAATTCTGAGAACACAGAAATGGAGACTCCTCACTCTGCCCTGACAAATCAAGGAAGGCTTCGTAGAAGAAGTGATGTCTGCACTGGTCCTAAAAGAAAGCCTACATTGTTGGCTACGTCTTTTTGCAATCTGTGGAAGAAGATGAGAGAACCCCTTTCCTTGGAGACTTCATGGAAAGGAACATTTAGGCTCCTGGAAGACCACAGACCTCCTTTGCCCCTGCCCCTGCCCGCCTCTGTGACCCCCTCTCCTCTGGGCACTCACCTTGTTCAGTCCCCACGGTCCTGTGATCCTTGGGATTGTTGTCATATTCGGTGAAAAAGAAGAAGATGAGAATGAAAGCCACCTCCAGGGTTAAGGTCCATGGGGGCAGGCAGCCCCGCATAGACCTTGGGTACTTAGAGCCCATTCCATGTACGTCTCGGTGCATGGTTCCACCCGCACCAGGCATTGCCCCTCTGTCCTCACACCTACTGGAGGGAGTGATGGGGAGACACCCGCCAAAGGCCTTATCTCAGGCTGCAAGGCTGGCTCTGCTGGCCTGTCTATGGAGTTAACACAGGAGCAGAGGGACTATGACAGCGAGGGGGAAGCAATATATGTATTCCAACATTCATTCATTCCTTCAATCGATCATTCATTTACTTATTCATTCGACAAGAGGTTGTTACATTCCTACTAGAGGGCAGGCATTGTACTCAGCTTAAAAGAAGGCATCCATTCACCCGGCACCCAAACCTAAGTTCATTCCTTTAGTTTACCCTCACCATATTCCTCCAAGAAAGGCAGAGAATGGATCACAGCTCCTGTTTTACAAATGAGTAAACTGAGTCTCAGAGGAGGCTTTGGATTCGCAAAATTTCTCTTTAAAACCTTACCACATGTCAACATCCAGTGAGCTCTTAATAAGGATGTATTAAATGAGAATGAATGAATGAATGCATGAAAGCAAAGTGTAATACTAAGCTCTGGGGAGGATAGAGACAGGCCCTGTGGAGAACTAACTCCTCAGAGTTACATAGCTGACATATGTATTTGAATCTGTACTTAAATCTACTTGTTTCTAAATCTCTTAAGAGTAAGTGGGAGAAAAGAAAGGAGCCTTGGATCCAGCTCTAATAAAAACCTGGCGGGGCTCCTGATTCAGTCCTAGGCTAACACTGTCCCCATCTCTGGTCACCTCCTCACAGAGCAGTCCAGGACTCTGCTTGGGGTGTGAGCACCATACGGCATGCAGGAGGGCCACTGGCCTCGGCATCACCAGCTCACAGTGCAGGACATCCCTTGAAATGGGATTTAGGCTACCTGCTTTCTAACTCTGACCATGCAGCCAATTACTCCTATGGCACCCATGCCACGGCAAGAGGTCTGACTGATGCTTATATAACAAGCATCAGGAAAGGAGGAAGAGAAGGAGAGAGAGGGAGGGGGGAAGGTTTTCTTACCTTTTACACTGGCCCCAGCCACTGGCCAGTATAGACTGCATTTGTGGGGCCCCAGAGAATAAGCTAGGATAGGAGCTGCCGGGAGGCAGATGTTGTCCTGTCATGAGTGGACCTTCATTGACCATTACAGCTGCCCAATGAAAGAGACTGCTCATGAGGTAGTGGGCACCTTGTCACTACAGGAATACAAGAAGAAGCTGATGGTTACTTGTCAGAGATATCTGGGAAGCGATTCATAGGTGGATGGCAGCAGACTTTAATCACCCAATATAATATTGTCATTTTGTATTCAGATGAAGAAACTAAGACCCAGAAGGTCATGCAGTCCATTGGCCTCACGCACTTCTTGCACAGTGCAGCTTTATTTACAGGCAGAGAAAAATTGAGAATAACCTAAATATCCAATAATAGGAGACTGGTTAAGTAAGCAACAGGCGCACACCTTGCCACCAATACGATGGTTCTGAACATATGTGGGAAAATCCAGAGGAAAATGTTTTTCAAGGCTTATCAAAAGTGGCACAGAGGGTATTCTATTTGGTGAAAAAGCAGGTTACAGAACAGTGCGTATGATGTATTTCCACTTTTGTAAAATAAGAATAAAGCAACATGTTAGTGCATGCCCAGGGGGGAAATGTGCCTGCAAACCACTAATGCTGGTTACTTTTGTTTCAGATGTTTTCAGGAGCTGCATTTACTAAGTGTTTACCATTGCTAGGCACTTAACATGTGTGAACTCAGTCATGAACTGTGAGATGGGAACTATTAGTCTTACGCTGAAAATGAGGAACCTGAGGTGCAGAAAGATGAAGTGACTTGCCCAGGTTTACAGGGCCGGTAAGTAGTAGAGCAGGGATTTAATCCCAGGCAGTCTGACTTGTGCACTAGGATGTTTAGCCAATTGACTCTATCCCAGATAACTTCTAAGTCTTCTCCCAATTCTAAAAGTCTAGGGATGTAGGATTCTGAGCCCTCTGCCACCTCGACGGTAAATAAGGGAGCAGGCGCCCCGACTCCTAGGCTCCATCCCCTTCATGATCACTCGGTTCTGATTTCTGGCCTTTTTCTGGCCATCAGCATCTTTTATAAACTGGGTGCCCTAAAGAGTAGGGTACCCCTGTGTGGGGGGAAAAGTGAATGTGACCCTGCTGGCCTGGGTCCTGTACCAGCAGCTTGTAAAGCAGGCAGCCAGACCTACCTAAGGGGCACCAGGCATCCCTTACTTACAGTTCAGCCAGATGAACATAAGATTTCCAGTCACCAGCAGCTCCTGTGCCTGCCACCTCCAGATGGTTGTATTTACCAGCTGACAAACTCAGTGTGAATGGCAGCTGGTTCCACGGCACCCCAAACCCCTGTGCATCCTGATCCTCAGTGAGGGCCTGGCAGCTTGACAAGAGGGCCAAGCTGCTTGCTGAACAGAGATTTCGTTACTAAGGGAGATTCCCAATCCCCTATGCATTTGGCCTCTTCCAGCAGATTTGTTCAAAGGGGAGTTTTCTCTCTTTCCCTCTGACTCTTGCAAAAGGCCCCTGTTTTCTGACAACACTTTCAGGTTGTCGGCAGATCACCCGGGAAAAAAGGCACGTGGGATTTAGAGCAGCTATGTCATCAAACACATATAGTTAAATGTTATTTGTTGTGCCCAGGTGGGAGGTGAATGACTTCACTGAACAAGTCTTTCAATGTTTTTTGTGTATGTTTGAAAATTTTCATCACACGACCCTGGGAAAAGAACACTGTGTACCTGCTACTCCCTCTGCCTGAAATGGTCCTCCCAGCGGATATCACCAGGAGAACAGGGACTTCTGACTGTTTTATCTTCAGTACCTGGTGCTCAGTCCACAGTAGGTGATTAATAAGTACTTGGTGAAGGAATAAGAGCTGCCATTTCTGGAATGCCAAGCACTGGACCAAGGCTTTTGCATACATTATTTCACTTAATTTCTCCCTCAAGCCTGTGAGTATAGGCATCATTGCTTTTGTTTTACAGGTGGGGAAAGCGCTGCTCAGAGAGAGGACGTGAACACCCAAAGTCACACAGCAAGCACATGGAAGAGCTAGGACCCAACCCACATTCATCGGACACCACGGCTTGTGCCGTTAACGGTGTTACAGTTCTGCCTGTCATTTACTAAGCCACTCGCAGTCTCAATTTCCTTATGAGTCAAATGAGATGAGCTCCTCTGTTTCTCCACAGGATTATTATACTCGTGAATGTAAGAAGATGTAGCATGCTTGGCACCTGTGTTATAGAAATGAAGGTGAGCGAGTGTAGTTATGACAGCAGCTTCCAGGTCTCAGTGGCCAGGTGTGATGAATCAAGTTAGAGAAACTTGCGGCTTTCACATGTAATCATGCATTTTACGTAAAAACAGAACTCTGTGAGAATAACCACCACACCCTCCTCACATGTGTAAGACACGGTAAAACTCAGTCATGGGTGATGACCAAGGGCATAGATAAATGGTCCCTCCATTGTCCCTCACGAAAGCTTGTCCACACCAAGGGTATGATACTGCTCTGGGCACACTTTGGTTCAAGTGTGGCTAAGTCAATGATTCCTTCATTTAACAAACACGAGCTTTAGGGTCAGGCAGCCTGGGTTCAGATCCTACCTCTGCTGCATGATTGTGGGTAAGATGATCACTTTCTCTGTTTCTTCATTTGTAAAGTGGAGGAAATCAGTGTCAGTCTCGTAGGGTGCTTGTGAAGATTAGATGAGGTAGTTCACGTAAAGTGTCAGATGTGTAGAAAATGTTCCATAAATGTTCATAGTTATTATTGCACAAGCTCAGTGTGTTTACTATAGAAAACTGAAAATGCAGGCATGCGTACAACATCCACCATTTCACCATCTCAAAAAACCAGCTCTACTTCTTTAGGTACCTATCCTTTGAGAAGTTTTTTGATTCATGTGAATTAATTTTTGTCCCTACAAAAATGGGATTATATAGCATCCCTGTTTGGTAGCTTGCTTTTTCATGAACAGTAGGTCGTAAGCAGTTTCCAAGCCAGGAAACTCTTTCCACAGCACTGTAGCACACGGGCTAAGAGCACAGGCTCTGACATCAGACTTCCTGGGTTTGAACCCCAGCTCTATCACACTTACTGTGTGACCTTGGGTAAATGACTTCACTGCTCTGTGCCTCCATTTTCTCATCTGTAATACTGCACCAGTAACAATCTCTGCTTCATGGGGTTATTGTGAGAATGACATCAAAATGCATACAGGACTTGGAGCAGTGACCGCACAGCGAACGCTAGGTGTTATCACTCTCTACGCTACGCTGACTTCCATGGTGAGAATGTGTGATCACTTGTTAGGCCAGCCCCTTTTGTTAGATACCTGTGTGATTTCTATCTGGTTTCTGTTCTAAACACTACAAAGAATATCGTCCATTAGCAGGGTTCTCTGGGGGATACAGATACATGTATCAGAGGTGGCCATCTCAATGTCTGAACTTTTCTGTGGCCACTGGGGATAGAACAGGAACAAAACTTAAGGCAGTTGGGCCAGCTCCTGTGTGGTGGGCTTGAGGGGATCAAAACTGCTGAAAGAGATGGGAATGCAATTTCCTTATTGTAAATCAGGGTGCGATGATGTCTCCCTAGGCTATCCTGAGCTCAGTTGAAGCTCAAGTTCGAATCCCAACCCTTTGCCCATCAGGAGTCCTAGGGGAAGAGGAGGGCTAGACCTGAATTCCTGTCTGGTCCTTAGTCTTTTGAATGAGAGTAAATGAGCTGCCTTTTCCGTTTTACTCATCTGTGAAAGGGTCACTGCTGATCTCCTCTTGTTTCTGGATGGTGGTGGAGGTGTGGGAAGCTGGGGGGACTCTGTAGCAGGCCAGCCTCATCTCAGCCCAGTTCTGTGCCCTTAGTATCCTGAAGGGCCATTTCAGGGCTCAGAGAGAAGAGGCTGGCATTTGGGTAGAGCCAAAGGCCCTTGTGCTGGGATAGATCAGGAAAAGAGAGGGCCCAGCTAGGGCGAGAGGAGGGAGAAGGGAATGAAGGAGGGCAGTCTTGCTGTTACCTGTGCTTGGG